TATCTTTAAAATATTGATTTCTTAATTTTGGGTTGGAAAAGTGGGGGTCGTCTCGTACATGGGGCGTCTTATTGACGGAAAAATACGGTATATTTAAATATAACTATATCCATCTCTGGTCACCAGGAAACGGCATGTGTTGTAACTGATCCTTGTATTTCTACTCTCTGTCTCTCATTTTGAAGGTTCCGGAGGTTCAATATTTTGACATCCAACACCAAAACCTTGATGATGGACAGGCCCCAAATGCAGGGACTCACTTGTGATTTTAAGCACATTGTATGGGACTATTGGCTGGTGATTTGAACCTTTCTAAATAGGGGAAGGAGAAAGAATAGTGGGAGCAAGGTGATCCATTTAAATGATAGAAGAAGGGACTGGAAATCCAAACTTTCCCACACAAAGGGGTAATCCATTGCCAACATAGAAACTAAATTTCTTGCCATCCCACTCTATACTAAATTTCAGTAAAAGGTAAGAAGAAATGTGGCCCATATTTCTAGCAAGGTACATTCAGTCGTTCTCCATTTGGAGAGCATTGTTTCTTCTTCCATTTCATATGCCTAAAATATCACCACCTTTCTCCTTTTTGTTCTTTCCCTTCCATATTACTCTTGGAGATTTTAATTTTTCCATAATTGTGATTTGGTTGGGGGAAAAGATGGTGTGGTGAAAGTTAGATTTTGTTTGCTTGTATTCCTTTTATGCATTCCATGAATTAGCCTGATGGTCGCATTGGGTGAAAAGGGCCCTGTGCGCTCAGACACTAAGGCTGCAGCTACTGAGGTTGAGCAGGAAAAAAGAAAGAGGCGGGTCTTGCTGCTTCCAGACCACAGCTGCAGTTGACCTGAGACCCATGAAGGTCACGCTTAACCAACTAGGTCACAACAGAGGGACTGAGTTGATGGCTGACTTGGGAGTTGCACTACAGGAGGAGGTGACACAACAGCAGCTATTCCCTCCCTCCTGTGCTGCTGCTCTACTACAAGTCCTATTAGACCCCCCCACGCAACCAGCTTTGATGAAAAGTGTTGGGCAAAGAGGAGCCCTTGGCTACCTGTACCTGCAGGCCCCAAGGCAACCACCTGTCCTGCATTCACTGTTTGTACACTCTTGCTGAACACACAGAATGTATTAGGGAGCTCAGGTGCCTAGACGTTTGGCCTATTTGCCTTGTCATAAAAATCAAGTGTTCAACAATTTCAGGGAGTAAGCTGTTCCAGTATTTGGTACTACGGCAGCCAAGTGGCATCGCACCTTAAAGCCCCAAATAATCTACATACGGTACCCTCTTCTAAAGAAGAGGTGTTAACTCTTGATACTCCGATGACTTTTGTGAGTCAGGAGCATATAGAACAAGGCCAGAGAACGTTGGCTTTCTCACCTGCGTAAATTAATGGCTCTGTGATTTTTCCTGTGCTTCACCCTTTTGTTTAAATACTCCTTTAAAACAAAGTTGAACGTTCAACATGCAAGAGAAGAAGTTTGAAATTGGTGAAAGAAACAAATGATTTGGAAGACATGCTTCAGACCTCACACAAGCACATGATCTTTCTGCTCTTCATTAAAGTATGGACATCTTTTTCCAGACACCTATGTTAGCCTGTAAGAAAGACACCATGGCTTCAAAAGCTGCATTAAAGATGTCTGGCTTGAATGATTCATTTATTTAAAGAGTTGCTGATTTTTTTTTCAAGCTTACAGGGAAGACTGAAAAGAGCTACATGTTTTAATGAACAGCAGAGAGGTGCTGTGCTTGCACAAGAGGCCCAGAACTTCTTCAGAACTATTTTCAAAGGATGCACAATCATAGAAATAGGTTGATTTTGTAGTAGACTCTTTGTTTTGTTTTGTTTTTGTACAACTGAATACGGTAATAAGTGGAGTCCTTGGGGTTCTCTGAGCTTGGTTCTTTTCTTGCAAACCTAGCCAGGTAATGAAACATTTGCAAGAAAAGAACCAAGCTCCGAGAACCCCAAGGACTCCACAGTTCAACCCTGAGCTACAGATATTCGCCTCCATTGCTACGGTAATAAGTATTTGAAAAGATAACCTGCTGAAGCGATGTATCTGGAGGGCAATGGGTTGGAAAAGGGTATTTCACCAATACTTTGATTTGATTTGATCTCTGTTGCCTTTCAGCCTTATGAATACAAAATCTCTCTTCTTCTCTTCTGATGCAGATGCTGAAAGAGCAGAAAATCTGTGGTGCAGGGAAAGGCAACAAAGGGATTAGTGAGGTGAGGTTTGCAGTGAGATAAGGGGTGATTGTCTAGCGTAAAGTTACCTGTGGACCTGGCCATAGATCTGGGCTTGGTGGCCAATACTGAGAGGCCACGTTATCTCATTCCCAGGAAATGTTAAGGATCTGCTTCTTAGGGTGGTAGAACAAGCATAACGATTGGGAAATATGTCTCAAGTTAAAAATGAGGAATAATTGCAAATTCCAGTACTTCACTGATCTGTGGCCCCATTGCTTACACTTCCATTTACTTATACGGTATCCACGTGTGTATAATTTTTCCACTAAAGTAAAGTTCCTTCAAGTCAGGCTCTGCTCCTGGTGCTTTTGTGGGTATGTTCACGCAGTTTTCTTAGAGGTGGCTGTCCTTGCCTTTGTCCAGGTTGATTTTCAACTTCCCAATCTATCCTAAGCCCTGGGAGTTCCCCATTCAGATACAAGACAAGTCCATCCCAGCTTAGTTCTTTTGTTGTTTTTAATGGGGGTCTGATTTGTGGCAGAAGGTTTTATTTATTATTCCTGTGGGGTTTCTGGAGTGGGTAGTGTATAAATGTGTGTATACAAGTAGTCCTCGACCTGTGACTATTCGGTTAGCAACTGTTCCATGTTACAACAGCGCTGAACAAATGGTGGTTACGACTGGTCCTCAGAGTTCTGGCTGTCCCAGCGCCTCCACGGTCAATGGGAACAGTCAATGGGAAAATAAATAGGAAAGCTAGCAGGGAAGGTTGCAAGTCGCTGGGGTAGGTCTCCCCCACCCGCACACTCTCTCCCAGCCCCTCTGCACTCATGCTGTGCCAGCCACTTGCACACCCTCCTTGACCCGCACCACAGCCCCGGACCTGCACCATGCCTCTCGCGCACCCTCCCTGACCTGCACTGTGTCTCTCGTGCGCACCCTCATGCGCTCTTCCTGACTCTCCCCGACCTGCGTGGCGCCCTTTGCACTCCTCCTAGCACCCTCCCTGACCCACCCTCGTGCACTCGCAATGTGCCTCTTGTGCACCCGACCTGCTTGGCACTTCTCGTACCTGTGTGGTACCTCTTGCGCACTTCCACGCATCCTCCCCACTTGCACACTCCCTCACATCCTCACACACCCTCCCTGTGCTGCACCTCTCATGCACCCTCCCTGACGCACTCCTGTGCACCCCCTTGCTCCCTCTCCCACCCGGCAGCAGCCACTTACCTGCCTGTGGGCCTGGGACTTGCAACTTCCTACCGGCTTCCCCACTGACTTTGGTTGTGGGAAGCTGGCAGGAAGTTGCCTTACCTAACGACAGTGGGATTCAGTTAACAACAGCAACTGGGACTGCAGGGATTGCCATCACTAAGTGATGCATTTATACTTTATGACCACATCACTTAGTGATGGAAATTCTGGTCCCAATTGCTGTTGTAAGTCAAGGACTACCTGTACTGATTTCTTTCTTTCTTTGAATGTATAAACAAAACCTGGATACCCACTAAAGAGAACATAATTCTTACAAATTATGGCTCTTACAAATTTTTGGGCTCTTGTCCCCAAAAGCTCGTGCTGCAGTAAAACCTGTAACATGCCACGCGGTAGCCTCAATGGGTTCTGATCTGCCTTTGTTCATTCATTTTCTCTTGGGGTTTGGGGGATAGGGAGTGTTGTCTGTCACCGAAGAATTGCACATTATCACTTTCACCCTGGACTACTGCTATCAAGAACTCAAGTGCCAGCTGCAGGTAAGAGAATCTTGCTGATTTCATTAGAATTAGGAGAGGCAGATGTAGGCAGCTGTATTTTTATTATTGCTTTATGTGTGCATGATTATGGCATGGGGGAATTTAGACTGAAGTTGGAGAGATTCTGGTTAACTAGATTCTCCTCTGATCTGTTTCTGGTCCATGGTGGCATGAGATGCATCCCATCTCACAGTGGTGGTAAAACCAAATGACTCCACATTTCCACCTGTTTTCTGTCAGGCTCCTCAGTGTTTTAACTAGTGCCCGATGGCATACAGTTTAAGGAGGGGCACTTTTCCTAGTCTCTCATGGCAAGGTATGGAGTTGTGACTATCCTCCCCAAAGGACTGTTGAGTAACTGAGAGTCCTTGGAGTGACTTTAATCCATTGTGGTTGAAGTTGTATCTGCACATCTTGCTTTCCTGCCTCTGAATGGACCTACCAACACAGGAATAAGTCTTTTGTAGCATAGAGTGCCTTGGAGTGCCTTTGTGGTCTGTTTGTATTGATTCCCCCTTTTTCAACCTTTTTGTGACTTTCATCATCAGACATCCACCTTGCCAGTGGTGATTGTCTCCAATGCCAGCCAGTTCTCCAGCGCTTGGGCTTCCATTTTATGGTTTATTATGTTCAGCCCAGACACAAAGGTAAGAAACTGGGTTATCCAGTTGTTTCTCAGAATTGGGCCTGATCTCCTGTCTACAGTATACCACAGTTCTTCTACCCAGATTGGCCATTATCGTTTTCTCATCACTTGTATTGGAACCAACTTTTCTCTATTTTGGATGGGGAAGAACTCTGATTCCTGCTTGCACTGGATTGTCTAGATAGAAAGTGTAAACAATCAGGTGTTGTTATGAGCTGACAAAACAAAAATGCCCCCTTCAGATCCATGTTTATTCTGCAAAAGTAATGGCAACTTTCACAGCCTCCCCTTATAGAATCCTAGGAAATACCTACTTTTATTCAACACCATCATCTGGACATGTTTTCTCAAATTGATGCAGCCTTTGGAAGAGGGATCTTTCGAGTACCAGGTCCTTTTCCAAGTAATTAACTATTTGTGCATGTGTTTAAATCACAGGCCACAATAAAGAATTGGTTATTTAGTAGATGTTCTTCAAATGGTCATCTGATATTAGCCTTTTGAGGTAGCCCAGACAAGAAGCACAACCAGGAGCACTAGCTCTATCGTTATTGTAAGGTTACATTAACAGAACCTTGCAAGACTGAAAGTATTTCTCCCCTCCTTTTCTTTTACTCTCTGGAAAACTAGGGAGGGTCCCTTATGAAACGCATCCCATGCCTCCTCCTCTCCTTCTGTGGACTGAGATATCTTTTACACAACGGTTGTCCAGCCTGCAGCTCTTCCCCCCTGTCTCCCAAGGTCACGCCCACACACAATACCATTACATCTGTGGATTTCATAGCTTATGACCTGACCTCTATGACGTTTGCATTTAAAGTAACCTTCCCTAATCTAGTGTCCTCCAGGCATGTAAGAGACAGCTCTTACCATGGCTGGGCCAGAGAACTTGCTAGCTGAGGCTGTTAAGAAAAGGTTGCAGAAGGCTAGTCTGTAATCCCTGTTTCCTTGGACAACCCAAGGGGATGTATTACCTCCTTCCTTCCAAAGCTGTTCCTCATATGCATTCCCTGGGGAGACTTTGCATGACGGGGGCATGGAACAATTTAAAATAAAATGAAGTGCCTGATGTGTGCCGTTTTCCCTCCTAGGACCAACTCTTTTTCTCCAAGCCACCAGTTGCCACCTGGGCCCAGCTTTCCACTCTGTTGACCTGGCAGTTCTCAGCAGCCACTGAGCGAGGCCTGGACCTCTTTCAGCTGAAGATGCTGGGAGAAAAACTCTGTGGTAAAGTGGGAAGATTTGTCCATGCGGTGGAGGGGAGTGGGGATTTTATTGACATGGGCGGGTCTGGCTTGAAAGTCCTGCACAGGCGTATTCTGTCTCTGGCTTTTCAGCAGAGAACTGTAGGCAAAATGGGAATTTATAAAATGGTGTTAAGAGCTGTGAACCAGGATTGACGGTAGGCATGCCTGATTCATTGGAGAGTTGTGCTTAAGGCAGTGTTGTCCAAACTTGGCCAGTTTAAGATGAGTGGACTTCAACTCCCAGAATTCCCCAGCC